ATCTGGTCGGCGCTCAATACCCACGACAACCCGTTTGGGAAAAGCCAACCGGTATTTGCGTTTATATTGCAGCGGGACGTCCGTATCGCCGGTGCCGTACAACCGGTACCGGCGTATGATGTGAGCCAACCCTAACTTGATCTCCAGGAGCGCGAACCGCATACCAATGCAATGTCGAGGGCCGCCTCCAAACGGTATGTACGTATAGGGCTTAATATGCTGCCGGCGCTTGGTGTCGAAAAATCTATCCGGGTCAAACTGGAACGGTAGCTTATAGTACTCCGGGTTATGGTGTATGGCGTAGGTAGGTATGTCCACCTGATCCCCTTTACGGACAGTTATACCGGTGGTGCCCAGCGTGTAGTCCTTGGTGGCCAGGCGTGTCAGTCTCATACCGGGCGGGTGTAGGCGTAGGGTCTCGGATACCACTGCCTCCATGAATGGCAGGGACTGTAGGACATCGTAGTCTATGTCGCCGTCAGGTTGTAATACCTCCCGGAGCTCATCGAATAGGCGTTGCTGGTGTTGGGGGTTGAGGGCCAGCTCGTACATGGCGAGGGTCAGGGTGGTGGCAGTGGTCTCGTAGGCGGACATCAATATGACAAATGTCTGGGCGCGCACCTCATCGTCGTTCATGTATTTGTTGTATGAGACGGAGGGTGTCTTACCTCCAGTTCCTTCCAATGGATTATCCGGTTCTTCGTCTAAAAGTTTAACATATTATTGAAATGATAATAATTATGTAAATGAGCATGATTATTTAAAATGCTTATATATTATCAAAGTTATCACTAATTGAACATGTTAACATATTTTTGCATTAGCCAATTTATTTTCTATAAACTAGATAGGTTACCTAAGATTTGTTTAAATACCTGTATCTAATGTTTGATCATATTAAATACAAGTATCTGTTATTTGGCTAACCATGTAACATAATGAAAATCATAAAATACCCTTGTTAATAATGTTTACCTTCGATAACATAATTAGCTTCACTAGTCTTGTAATCTTCGGGCGCGGCGTCGGTATCCTTATGGGCGTCCAATAAGAGCTGCAAAAAGTCCGTATACTTGGCGGAGGCGTCCGTAAGCTTACGGCGCGTTTCGATGATATCCGTCATTAGTTTATTGAAGTATACGAGTCCTTCCGGGCGGACAGTAGTGGTGACCGTCAGACGCGTCAACCAACGGGGCGGTAGGGCTAACATTGCAATGATTTTCCATGGCTTAAAGTCCAGTAGACTTTTGGCGTGCCTTATAGGGTGACCACGTGTGCAAAATTATATAGATATATATTTAAATATTCATGTATAGTATAGTTTTTAATAGTGTGACATAGGGTGTCATTATCTAATGTTTTATCAATACGATTAGTAAATGGCAACCTATGTCATTTTTTGAAAGTATTATTTATAGCGTTATTAATGCTAATAAAGATTAAAGATTAATAATGTTGCTGTAACATTTTTAAAATTAATTTTTGACAATTGCTTAGTTTACAATTCACCAGTATACATACAGGTAAATTACCTAAATATTATATCTATTGTACCCAATAAAATTTTACAGTTTATAAACAGCAAAACTTTGCCAGTTACTAACAGCTACCTTAGTTATTAACATCTTATAACTTTATATTACCTATACTATGTAAGCACCTGTATATTACAGTATATAAAAAGTAAAATTTTTCCGGTTACAGCTAGTACAGTATTTGCATGTTTACTTTAAAAATTAATAGTTTCTATATTTGCTATGTTTTATCTTACTTAAAAAATCCAAATAAAACTTGGCCACCCTACCTGTCAACAGGGTTATTTCTATCATTATGGACATTGGTTTTCGTGGCAAACGCGCAGGTAGCCACCACGTCCATGGTGAAATTGCCAAACATCTCCTTGACATCCACTGGCCTACGATCCATGGCGTAGGCGTCCAAATGGGTCTGGAAGTCGCGTAGGCATTGCCTGATGGACGGGTACATGCGTTTCATACGGCCCGACGTGAAGGCCGGGCTGATTATGTGCCTCAGGCGGCGCCAGTCGTCCCCACGAGCCTGCGCTACGTTGCGGGACAGTACGGGGTCTATGAGGAGCT